ATGCAGGTGTGGCAAGACAAGGCGGGCATTTACTTTACTATTGCACACGTGGCGAGACAAGGTGAGATATGTCAGGGATTGATTTGTGATGATTTGTGATGGCCTGGGGGCACTCCTGTTGTTGATATTTTGTGTAGTGGTACACTTACCTGTGTGATTTATCTTGTGAAAGTTGTGAGAAAACATTCTACGTGTTGTCCGTTCTTTTTCTTATGCTTACTAGCTGGTATGAACTATGTTAGGACACTTGCACAAGCATACACATAATTTAGCACTCTTATCATATAAGAGCTTTTCTTGATATTGTTGAGTATAAATACACACCGTTGCCTACTTGCCTTCTATGTGAGAATGGCTCTATTTGGTACGGGAGTCGTCAATGCGGTTATGAGGTGTAATATGGGCATAGGATGCCAAGTGTTAGGGTTCAGGTATTGAGACCCGTGAGTTGTGAATTGTTTGAGGTTCGGTACCTCATGGAGTTTGTTGACAAAATCCTGATGTGAAAGCGGTCGTTGTTGCTGAGTTATTATTTGTTCTTGTTGTATCTATGATTTCGGATTCAGGTTGTGTTCCATTCACTCTTCTGTGTCATTTTTATGGTATTCCGCTGATACTTGTTGTTTCCCTTCTTATTGCCATTACTGTATTGTGAGCCATATTGCATAGTCTTTATGTAGATATCATATTTCTGTTGTTCATATACTTATACTTGCTTAGTTTATTTAGACCAGTGGGTGTCTTGACTGTTCCTCGTCACTACTTCACCGAGGTTAGTCTTGATACTTACTGGGCACCGCTGTGATGTGCTCATTCTACACTTCTACATATTTTTGTGCAGATCCAGGTATTTGTTCGTTAGTAGCTGTGCGGGTCGTTGATGTGGAGATTCAAGGTAAACTTGCTGCTGCGTTTGCAGGCTTCGGAGTCACCTTCAAGTCTTCGTTTTGCACTGTTTATTCTTATTTCTGGACAGTTGTATTTTTAGAAGTTTTCTAGCAGACACTCTATAGAGCTTATGACTTGTACTACTGGCTTTGGGAATCGTAAGATATTTCTATTTCAAATTATTAGATGTTATTTAAATAATGTTGTTGTTTCAATTAATTTTAGGCTTACCTAGTCCCTGAAACTAGGTGCCATCACGATACCCAAACGGAGGAGAAATTGGGTCGTGACACTTCAATTAAAAAATAAGTTGATCAATTAAGAGGAATTGGAAGTGAAACAAAAAGGAAGCCAGCATAAAGTCTAATTTTGTCTGAATGTAACAGAATAAAAATTTGCGAATTCGTATTGATTTGCGGATACAAATTAGCAGAGATCAAGGAATTTTAGCAGAAAAAAATAGAAAAAGCAACAGTAGTAAAAATTTCATCATTGGATCAATATGAATAATTAGGGGCGGAATTTACCCGTGAACCTGTCTAAGTTCTTACAAGAAATATAGCTTGAATCTTCACAAATAAGCATCATTACTTATAGTAAGAGAGTCTACCAAAAATACGGCTTCGAGGATGGAAAAGCCGAAAAGAGGGAAATGGAGCTAATTTCGGGATTTTTAAAATTAAGAAAGAAAAAAATAAAATGAAGAACATAGATGGAATAATTTAAATAAGAATGAAGGAATTGTGAAAAAGGGGATACCGGCCAAATGAGATTGACGAGAAATTAAACTCCAGGAAAGGGGATTTTGGTAATGTAATGTTTGGTTTTGGGTTTAATTATTTGTGGACTAGGGGTTGACAGAAAGATGAAGAAACGGCTTTCTTGGGATGAGCAAGAAATAGGTTGTTTGGGTTTGGTCTTAAGATAATAATTGAGCTACTATTCAATTAAAATATCATGATAATAATAATAATAATAATAATAATAATAATAATAATAATAATAATAATAATAATAATAATAATAATAATAATAATAATAATAATAACAAGAACACTAATGATGATATTAATAATATATTTATACTAATAAACTAATAATAATAATAACAAATATAATAATAATAATAATAATAAAGTTGTAGTACTTGTTATAATATATAGAAAATGCTACAAAAATATTATTATGAATCTTAAATAAAATAGTAGCTCATAAGAATAATATGGAGTAAGGATGGACAAAATTGGGTGTCAACACATATATCACTTTTTCATCACCCTTTTTTTTTATTAGGGTTTGCTATTCGTGTAATCAGTCCCGCATCTGTTCTCTCAACTAGGCTTTCTGTAAGTCTTTCTCAAGAATGGATTTTGAGTGCTTCTTCCTCCAAGAGAAAAACTGTTGAAGCCCGCGGGTCTGATGATAAAGAGGATGCCGAAGAAGGTTCCTTGGTGAGCAAACCGTGTGTCAGAAGACGCGTAGTTTCAGATGATGAAACCCATGTCTCTCATGATCCCCCATCAAGTTCGATTCCCTTCAGACTCATTGATGAGCCAGAAAATGTTCCTGTTGAAAGGTTATTCGCCCATGGCTTTGAGGGTGAGGAAGGCCTCGACCCTGTTTCTGAAAAACTGCCTCTCACTTCCCTTCCAGTTTTACCTAATGTTAACCCCCATGTGTATTTACCTGGTGTTACCCCCAATGGTTGCTCCCGTTGCTCCTCCTCATGTTGAAGCCGAGCCTTCTAGCAGCAGGCGGGATAAGAAAAAAATGGAGGGTCATAGTTTCTTGACTTTAATGAATGACATTGTTCATTCTTCTCTTAAGGTATAACTTTACTTATATCTCCTTCCTTCCTTGTTCTCATTTGTAACTCTTCTTCTTTTGCCTATTTTATTTTTGTAGATTAATTTGATAGGCACTGAGCTTATGAAAAGGATCTCTTGGACTGACCAGTAACTAATTGAGTTGTGCACCGAGGCTGATAACTAGAGAGAACAATTTGAAGGTCTTAAGTTGGAGAAGGACGTTCTTGCAAAGGACAAAGGAGATTTGGAACAACATCTGAGAATGGTATCCGCTGAGTTAGCGGTTTTAAAAGCTTCTTCTAGTCAAGTTGAGAAAGATAAGGATAGACTGGAATCCTCTTTTGTTAAACAACTTTCTAAGGCTACTGGAGAGATAAGGAGTTTGAAAGAGCTCTTTAATCAAAAAGAGGTTTACACGGGTGAACTGGTTCAGACGCTTACCCAAGCTCAAGAAGATCTCCGTGCCTCTACAGGTAAAATTCAGTTCCTGGAAAGTTTTCTTATTCCTTTGGAAACAGCTTATGAAGCCTCGGAGGCAAAAAAAGAAGAATTGAAAGCTGAAATTGAGCAGTGGGAGAAAGATTATGAAGCCTTCGAGGATAAGTTATCACTGGATGTTAGTTTGGCTTTTTTGAATACTCGCCTCGAGACTTTAACTGAAGCCAACCAGGAAGGTTTTGACCTTACCGCTGAGATTGCTAAGGCCATAGAAATAATTGAATAGACTCAGCAAAGCTAAAGCTTTTCCACACCCAAAGGCGAAGATTCTAAGGGTGATGGACTTGCTCCTGGTGAAGCTTATGTTCAACCCTCTTCTCCCCAAGTCGATCATTTTTCTTCCACTGATGATGCTCCTTAGCTTTTCCTATTTCTAGATTTTTTTTTTTGAAAGTGTTTGTTTGTTGGTTTTTTTTTTGGAACTCCCTTGTGTTTTTTGGACAACTTTTGGAAGGTTTTTCCGCCCCTGTCTTTTTTGGTGTTATGATATAAATAGCACCTCTGTTCGTTGGGGTTATAAATATCTTTATTGCTTTTGTCAAATATTATGCTTTCTGTCCTTTTAATATTTGAGCTTACTCTTGCAATTAAAATGCTTTAACAGACCGTGACTTTGATATACATGGATATTTCTAAAAGAGGGCCCTTTTATATTAACGACACTGATGGAGATGACGCATCATCTTCCTATTGGTGCAAATATATGAAACGTAAAGTAGATATGAAAAGAGGAATAATTTGAGGAAATTTTATTTTTTGAACTCTCAAATGAATAAATTATGTACACCATTTTCATAACTGTTCATACAATATTTTCATAATTACTTTCATTGTAGCAGGTTTATAAATTCGGGTCTATTTTCCTGCGACTAAATTTATGGCCTTAACCTAGAAGCTCGTGAGAATATCTTGCATCCTTTTTGCGAGTTTGAACTCTTTGAAAACTTTTCAAAGGTTTCTTCAAGGTTTTGATTCGGGCTGGGCTATGCTCTTGGTATAAATTTTTCATCTTTGTGTAACCTTCTATATGTATAGTCCCTCACAGTGTTGGAGCATTGAAGTATGAAATCTCGAACACTGGATCAACTCATTTCTTACGGTCCTTTCCCTGAAAAGAAAAATACAAACGGGACTCAGAGATAATTTTTTAGATGATGATTGCATAACCCTTTTTCCATCAAAAAAGTTGTAACCTAGACCGGGAATAATTCAGTATTCCGTGTGTCTTTGGGGTCTAATATTATCATTTGGTACGGGCCAGCTTTTTGCTTATCATCTAAAATAGTTAGTAAAATTCAAAAGAACAAAGTAAAATTGAACTTTTGTGATACCTGACCGTGGCTATTATCCTCGTTTAGAAGTAGTACTTCTTCAAATGGACTATGCCATCCATGGTTTCTAACCTGTATGCTTCTTTTTCGGCGATGCTTCTAACCCTATATGGGCCTTCCCGATTTAGACTCAATTTTCCTGCATTTGCCGCTTTTGTTGACCGGAACACCTTTTTGAGGACGAAGTCCCCAATCTTGAAATACCTCAAATTGGCTTTCATGTTATAATATCGTTTAATCATCTGCTTTTGAGCCGCCATTTGAATTAATGTTGCTTCTCCCCTTTCTTCTAACAAATCCAAATTTACCCGCAGCTCTTCCTCATTTGCCACTTCAGTGGCATGCGTGTACCTCGTACTTAGTTCACCTATGTCCACCGGAATCAAAACTTCTGCTCCGTATACAAGTGAAAATGGAGTCGCACCCGTACTAGTTTTTGTTGTTGTTCGTAAGCCCATAACACCATTGATGATACCTATGGCCATTTGCCTTTTGATTCTTCCAATCTCTTCTTTAAGTTATTGATGATAACCTTATTTGTCGATTCAGCTTGTCCATTGGCCGTAGGGTGATAAGGTGCGTAAGTAATTCGTTTAATCTGCCAACTTTGGAATAATTTTATGACTTTCTCGCCTATGAATTGTGGGCCATTATCACATACAATCTCATTTGGGACTCCAAATCGGCATATAAGTTTTTGCCAAATGAAATTCACAACTTCTTTTTCTCGCACCTGTTTAAAAACACATGCTTCTACCCATTTTGGGAAATAATCTGTTAAAACCAACAGAAATCGTACCTTTCCTTTAGCTCGAGCCAACGACCCTATGATGTTCATGCCCCATTTCATGAAGGGCCATGGTGAAATAACTGAATGCAACAGCTCCGCCGGTAGGTGCATGTTATTAGCATACCATTGACATTTATCGTACCCGGATACAAAGTTTTCTACTTCTTCTTCCATTTTTGGCCAATAATATTCTGCCCTTATTAATGTTTTCACCAATGATCTTCCACCGGCGTGATTGCCGCAATGCTCCTTATGTACTTCTTTCATTGCATACTCCATTTGTGATGGTCCGAGGCACTGTGCTAAAGGTCCACCAAACATTTTACGATATAAATTTTCACGAATTAAGCAGTACCAGGCAGCTTTCAGACGTAGCAATTGTGATTTCTTCTTATCTTCAAGCAAGATACCATACTGCAAAAAGTTCACAAATTTATTTCTCCAATCCCAAGTTAAATTATTGAAATTTACCTCACTCTTGGTTTGATTGAGTGCTGAATGAAATAAATTTATCATAATGGCATTTTCTGCATTTGTTGCATCTACGACAAATGCGAGATTTGCCAACGCGTCTGCTTCTGCATTTTCCTCCCAGGGTATTTGCACGGCTTTCCATGCCTAAAATTGTCTAAGTAATTCTCGTACCTTTTCAAGGTATTTCTGCATTCGCGTCTCTCTTGCCACGTAAGTCCCCTGCATTTGATTAACCACAAACTGCGAGTCACTTTTGATCACAATTTGTTCGATACCAAGTTCTCGTGCCAGTTCCAAGCCTGCAATCACAGTTTCATACTCTGCCTCATTGTTAGTGATTGGATAACATTTTGTTGCATGTCTTATGACTTCACCTGAGAATGGAATTAAAACAATTCCTAAACCTGCTCCTTTAACATTTGGGGAACCATCAGTAAATAGGGTCCAAATCCCCAGATTAGCTCCGGTAAAAACTTGTGGTTCCTTCTCTGCTTCAGGAACTAAATTTGTGCTAAAATCCGCTACAAAATCTGCTAACACCCGCGATTTTATTGCAGTTCTAGGTTGATATATGTTATCATACTCACTGATTACCATTGCCCATTTAGCTAATCTACTTGATAATTCCTGTTTATGCAGAATGTTTCTTAGGGGAAAGCAGTTATAACAGAAATAGGATGATACTGAAAGTAAGGTCGTAACTTCCTTGATGCCATAATTAACGCTAAAGTAAGCTTTTCTAGGTGTGGATACCGTGTCTTAACATCTAGTAAATACTTACTAGCATAATAAATTGGGTTTGTTTACCTTTATCTTCATGTACCAACACCACACTTACTGCTACTTCTGACACAACGAGGTAAATGAGCAGTTTTTCACCGTCTTTTGGTTTGGCTAACAGAGGAGGATTTGATAAATATGACTTTAGGTCCTTGAGAGCTTGTTGGCACTCGTCAGTCCATTCAAACTGATTTTGCTTTTCAGCACTGAAAAGAGATTTAAAACTTTTTTTCTGATGACTTTGATATAAATCTTCCCAGAGCTGCTATCCTACCAGTTAATCTCTGCACTTCTTTCTTGCTCGTGAGTATATCTGGTATCTCCTCAATAGCTCTAATCTGTGCGGGATTCATTTCAATACCTATGTTAGAAACACGAAAACCTAAAAACTTACCTGAAGCCACGCCAAAAGCACATTTTTTCGGGTTTAACTTCATATTGTACTTGCAGAGAATCTCAAAGTTGTCTGACAAGAGTTGAAAATGATCCCTCGTCTATGTTGACTTGACAACCATATCGTCTATATAGACTTCCATGGTTTATCCCAGGTGTTCTTGAAACATTTTAGTCACCAGCCTTTGATATGTGGCTCCAGCATTTTTCAAGCCAAATGACATGACTTTGTAATAATAAGTCCACATGTATGTGATAAACAAAGTTTTTTCTTTATCTAGAGGGTCCATTTTTATTTGGTTATATCCTGAATATGCATCTAAAAAACTTAAAAGTTCATGACCTGCAGTAGAATCAATTAATTGATCTATGTGCGATAAAGGAAATGAATCTTTAGGATAAGTGTCATGACCCAAAATTCAACTAGTTGTGATGATACCTAACCCAACCTGCTAGGTAAGCCAACTAATACCTATCCAATTCCAATAATATTTAATAAGTGTCACGACCCAAAATCTAACTAGCTGTGATGGCACCTAACCTCACCCGCTAGGTAAGCCAAATAATAATAATCCGATTCAATTAATATTTAACTGACTCTAATACATTCCCCAAAAATTGGTAGTACAAATCATGAGCTTCTAAATTAGAATTTACAAGTCGGTATGAAATAAATACATCAGCTGTTCGAAATGTACGTAAACATATTTTTTTATGAATCTAAGGCTACCATGAACAAGAGGCAGCTATGACCGGAACACAGGTACATCTTCAAATCCAGCTTCCGTTGATCACAGCAACATCAACATCCAATATCTGCACGCAAGGTGCAGAAGTGTAGTATGAGTACAACCGACCCCATGTACTCAATAAGTAACAAACCTAACCTTATATTGAAAGTAGTGACGAGCTGGAACAAAGGTCAGGGTCCAACACCAATAGCCAACAATAGTTCATAACAACATAATAGAAGTAATAAAATAAGTAGCTCAGAGATAAAATGCTCAGCTCGTTCACAGTTCCAGAAAAATAGGTCTGCTTTTCAAGTATATCAGTGAAAACTCGAATCTTTTACCGAAATCACCAAAATATGAGTACGTTTTGTAAAACTGAGATTTTTTTCCAAAAACTTGTCAACAACAGATAGGATATTTTATTTTCAAATGGAATGAGGAAAATACATCTCTATGCCTATATGTCAATGAGTATGTGAAGTCATGAATGACGCAATATCGTACAACATGAGGAAAAATGCATCTCTATACTTGTATGTCAAGTGTGCATGTCAATGTGATGCAACTCAGTAATAAAACTATATGCATGCTCTCAGAGTATCAATTCACTCAGTCCACGCAGTTACTCAATCCTCACAGTCACTCAGTCCTCCCAATCGCTCGACACTCGGCACTCGGCACTCGCACTCGGTAGGTACCAACGCTCACTGGGGATGTGTACAGACTCCGGAGGGGCTCCTTCAGCCCAAGCGTTATAATCTGCACGGACAACTCACGTGCTATAGTATCAATATTTGGATCTGTACGGACAACTCACGTGCTATAGTATCAATATTTGGATCTGTACGGACAACTCACGTGCTATAGTATCAATATATGGATCCGCATGGATAACTCATGTGCTATAATAAACCAATCTGGCCTGATGCGGCGTGCATCTCGATCCCATAATTATCCTCACAATCATGCCCTCTGCCTCACTCAGTCATCAATCTCTCCAGTCTTTCGGGTTCATAATGTCATGAAACTAGCCCAAAATGATGATATGATGTATCAATAAATAACAGCAGAGATTGAGATATGATATACAATGAATGAATATGACTCAGTATGAAATTACAGTTTAAACATGTAATTCGACAGTGGAAATGACCTCAGTGGGTGCCAATAATACCAACATTTGCCTAATCATGATTTCTAACTTGAGTCACAACTCAGTTTCTCTAACACATAAAAATACATGGAAGAATACAAGTTAATTGACTAAACAGCTCTACGGAATCAACTAAGTCTCAATTTATATGATGCACGCCCACACGTCCGTCACCTAGCATGTGCGTCACCTCCAAACAATTCACATAACACGTATAATCAGGGTTCATACCCTCAACTCCAAGATTAGAGATGTTACGTACCTCGAACAACCCGAATCCAATGTCGAGCAAGCTAAACAATGCTCCAAAAATTCTATTATACGCGTATCAACTTCTGAACGGCTCGAATCTAGTCACAATTAATTCGATTCAAACACAAATTATAGGAATTAATTCCATATAAAAATACTAATTTTCCCTAAAATATTCGAAATTACACTCAAACATCGCCCGTGGGGACCACGTCTCAGAACCTGATAAAAGTTATAAAATATGAACGCCCATTCAACCACGAGTCCAACCATACCAATTTTACCAAATTCCGATATCAACTTGACCCTCAAATACTCAAATTAAACCAAGAGGATTTTCTAAATTTTCCAACTTAATTCACCAATTAAATGTTAAAAAGACTTACCCCATTATTTTCCATGAAAATCTCCCGAAAATCGCCTCTTCCCGAGCTCCAATTCGTCAAAAATGAAAAATGAACAAACCCTCGATATTAAATATATTTTTTGCCCAGTTGTTTTGCCTTGTTTCATGTGCCAAATAATCCCGAAATTCTCTTTTGATACCTCCAATAGATTCCTTGTGAAATTTCAGTCAAGTTAGGCTTTTGAATCACCCAATTTAGCCTTAAAATGAGGGAGATATGATGTTTTGAAGATTTAAATGAAGTCTGGAAATTTAATGGATAAAAAATGACATTTTCGTAAATATTTTACACCAGAAAATCAGCAACTAAAAAATTTTCGTTTTAGCACCCAAAACTCATTCGGAACCTCTCGGACACAAACCATATATGCGTATCAATCATAAAATACACTACGAAGATGCTCAAGCACTCAAAACACCGAAAAGAGGTCATCTTGGCCCGATATTGACCATGGTCAAACTCTAAATCCTTAACTTAACTAGTTTCTCAACCAGTGATCCAAAACACACTCGAGCCCCTCGGGACCCCATTCAATCATAGCAACAAGTCTTAAAACATGATACAAACTTAGACAAAATCTCAAATCACATCAAACAACGCTAAAACCACAAATCATACCCCAATTCAAACTTAACGAAATTAAGAAATTTCAACTTCTACATTCGATGTCGAAACCTATCAAATCAAGCCCGATTGACCTCAAATTTTGTACACAAGTCATAAATAACATAACGGACCTATAAAAAATTTTAGAACTAGATTCTAACCCCGATATCAAAAAGTCAACTCCCCGGTCAAACTTTCAAACTTAAATTTCTATTTTAGCCATTTCAAGCCTAATTTAACTACGGAGTTCTAAATAATTTTCCGAACAAGCTCCTAAGTCCAAAATCACCGTATAGAGCTATTAGAATCATCAAAACTCTGTTCCGAGGTCAAATTCACAAAAGTCAAACTTGGTCAACTTTTCCAACTTAAAGCTTCCTAGTTGAGAATCGTTCTTCCAAATCAATTTCGAATAACCTAAAAACCAAAACTGACGATTCAAACAAGTCATAATACATCATACGGAGCTACTCATGCCCTCAAACTACTGAGCGAAGTGCAAATGCTCAAAACGACCGGTCGAGTCGTTACAACAAGCCTTATTTAAATCAGTATAGTCTACGCAAACTCGCTATTTTCCATTCGTTTTTGGAACCACAACGGTATTAGCTAACCAGTCAGGGTACTTTACCTCATGTATTGAACCAATTTTCAAAAGCTTTTGTACCTCATCTTGGATCACTTGATTTTTTAAGGACTATTGCTTCCTTTTCTTCTGCTTTACAGGTGGGTGTAATAGATCTTCATTCAGCTTATGAGTCATCACCTCTGGTGGTATACCTGTCATATCTGAGTACGGCCAAGAAAAGCAATCCGCGTTAGCATGTAAAAATTCAATTAACTTACCTTTCATTTTTGGGCTCAAATTGCTCCGATGTTATCTTTCCTGTCTTGCCAGTGGGGAAATAATACTATAGCTCCGAGCTCCTCGGTAGTTGTTTTAATGTTCTTATTTTCTTCTGGCTCTTGAATCACATCGGGTCTTGAGTCGATATCAATCTGTCCTTGCGTGTGTTCAGTTGAGGTTTTAACAGCAGTGTCCTCAACTGAATTCTGTAATTGCTATTTTGCATCTGCATCATTAGCTACTGTGCTTGCAATTACCACTGAGTTGATACTTCGTGAAGCTTGTTGATCTCTGCGGATTCGACGGATTCCCCACTATGAAGGAAATTTGATAACTTGATGCAATGTGGATGGGACATCGTCCATATCATGAATCCATGGTCTTCCAAGAATTATGTTATAGGCTATGTCCGCGTCTATCACCTGGAACTTTGTATCCTTGACGGCCCCTTCTACAAATGTGGTAAGTACAACTTCCCCTTTCGTAACAACGCTTGAATTATCAAATCCAGACAAGGACCTTGCTTTGGTATGATCTTATCATTAGCTTGCATTTCATTTACCACCCTCGGTAAAATGATGTTTATTGAGCTACCTGGATCAATCAAAACTCATTTTAATTTGGTATTATGTACAAGTAAAGATATTACCGTTGCATCGTTGTGAGAAATCATCAAGTCGTCCACGTCTTTATCGTTGAATGTTATACTGCCGCCATCCAAGACTTGGCGAACTCGCTTTCGATGAGTAACAGTGACTTTTGATGTTTTTTCGCGGTTGTATATATTACTTCATTGACCTCACCTCCTCCAATTATAATGTTGACTGTTCTTTTTGGTGATGGAGGTTTTGGGGGTTCCTGTCTGTTCTTCATGTATGATTCTCTTTCTTTCTCACTGAACATATCAGTAAGATAGCCCTGCTTCAATAAATGTTCGACCTCTCCTTGCAAAAGCCTACAATCTGTTGTTCTATGGCCATGATCATTATGAAACTTGCACCAGAAATATGGGTTTCTTTTGTTCGGATCTGATTTCATTTCTTTTGGCCATCGCACCTTATCCCCCATACCTCTTAAAACAACCACTAATTCAGAGGCGCTAATGTTAAAGTTGTAATCCCATATTCTTGCTTGTGTATTGGAATCATTGCTTCGGGCATCCCGCTCCTTTTTAAACCTGGATGAAGAACTCGTGTGTTTTTGCCTTGATCTTGGATCAAATATTGCATTCTCCTATTTAGATCGAGAATCTCGCCCCGTAGGTCCCATGTATGGCTCGTACCTATTTTTAATGGACCTCTTTTCTGATTATGAACGTATCAGACCTAGTCTTTCATCGGCCCTTGGCTTTACGATCGTATCTTCTTCTATCCGCAGCTTCGTAATGTATCTATTGTACACATCGTTCCAAGTTATTGCAGGAAATTCTCGCAAACTTTCTTTCAACCTCCTCGTGGCTTCTGAACTTTTCTCGTTCAAGTTGCTCGCGAATGACATAGCCGTCCAGTTATCAGGTACCCGAGACAACATTATTCTCTCCTGCTGGAATCTATCTACGAATTCCCTGAGCAATTATGTACTCCCTTGTTTAACCTTAAAGATGTCTTCTATCCTTTTTTCAACTTTTGAGCTGCCGAATGGGCTTTTATAAATGAATCTGCAAGCTCAGCAAAAGAATCAATATAATTTTCAGGTAAAAAAGAATACTACGTTAACGCTCCTTTTATGAATGTTTCGCCAAACTTTTTAACCAAAACTGATTCGATTTCCTGCTTGGCTAAATCATTGCCGTTCACGCCGGTAGTGAACGAAGTTACGTAATTTCGAGGGTCAGTTGTTCCAACATATTTGGGAATATCATGCATTTTAAACTTTTTGGGAATTGGTAAAGGTGTTACACTTGGCTTCCAGAGTTGCTGTGAATACTTGTCAATATCCACACATTTGATCACGTGAGGCATATAAGGTATTTGCTCTATACAATCGTTTTTCTCCATCAACTGTTTCTGCAAAGTTAGCACTAAACTTTATAAATTAGAATTATTTGGAGTACCTAATCCTCCATCACGAGATTCATTAGGAATTTTTCCACTTCCAGAATTATCAAGCCTTGAACGCGGGTTCTCCAAAGTTATTGTATTAACTGGTGGAGGAGTTTGCACCGCATTGGGTAGTCCTCTGACGAATGCCTGCAGTGCACTGTTCACGTGTTCTGCAATCAATTTCTTTAGAGCATCATGCTCCATGGTTTGGTCGTCTCCCTGCTGATCATCAGCGCGTGAAGCAGACCTTTCAGGTGAACTTCCACGGGATTGCTGAGGGGATCCCATAGGTGTGTGGTGTGGTGGAGTTTCATCTTGTTGGTTCAGCTGGTTATTCCTATTAATGGTTGACATATTTGGTTGTAAATGGAGTTTAGAAAGTGAACGGATTATCAGGTTCCCGGTAACGAAACTAATTTGTTTAACTCAAAAATAGATTTCTTGGTCAAAGTCAATATCTAGAAAAAATCGGGTTACTGATAACCAAGATTTACTTTACTTTCTCAATAATTTGAAGAATAAATCAAGGAATGAAAATAATTGACAAAGAAAATATGAAATAGATTAGTAATCACCCCCAAAATTGCGGTTTAGAACTTTGAGAATAAAGTAAAGAATGATTGCATAAATTTCAATAATTATCTGTTGCCATTACAAATGAGATTTCAGTCTTTATATATGAGCATACAATTATAACGGTTCCCTTACTTAATTCGGGCTCACTAATGGTATTAATTGCCTTGATTGCCCGTTACCATATACAACTGTAACGGAAATATTTATGGCTAATGATTTCTTGTAATCGTATTGATTCCCCTTCCTTATTTATGACAAGTTCGTGTATCTTCCCTTCTTTACGGTCTTTATTCATTTCGTTCTTGTTTTCCCTTTTACAGCTGTCAGGTCCGACTTTTTTCTCAGTGTAACCCCGTGGGTGTTTCTCCCGTGCCTTTTCCACATTCTTTAACTCATCTAATTAAGAACGCCACTTGTCACTATATCGATGGTCCACGTACCATACCTTGTCACCTCGTTGATAGTCCACGTGCCATGTNATATATATATATATATATATATATATCACATATAATAGACATACACTTAATATTTCTTTGGTGTATGTATGATGTATCTTTTAATAGTGTCAAGATATATTTTGAGGTATAAATTGTAGTATATATGACGATCCTTTTTTCACTGTATTTAATGGTAGAACACAGCCTTATATTTGAGCGAGAAAATAGAAACAAATAGGTGCATTAATTATTTTTCTATTTTTATTTATTGGACGTTTGCAAGAAAGGGAAGGTATTGATTTGATGAGAGATTGTGGGCGAGATACTTGGGAGGCTGGTGTTTACACTGATTGTTTTGTAAATCAGATGGTGTTGCTGGGCTTCCGTAAAACATTCGTCACTTATGAAACTTTCTCTATTTATAACTATAATTTAGAGCCTAATAATTATAATTTATCTATTATTATTCGTAGCTATTATTCAATTGTTACTAACTTATATCACTTGTATTCAAATGCGCAACAAATACGATATGTATGAACTGTAACCAAAAGTAACACATGCATTTGTTTAATTTAAACTCTATATGGTTTGTGATTGCACATTCACATTTCCTGTATGATTCGTGGCACAGTCATGGCCACTTCATTTTCACACACACAATATTATTTGCTCAACAAAATTATATGGGACCCACTTGTAAGATTTTCGCAACTTATTTTAGTCAAAATTACCCTTACCTGTTTTTTTTCACAAAAAAAAATGTAAAACTAAAAGCACTTCATTTTTATTTTCTTATTAAATGCCGAATATCAAATTAAAATGGAGGAAGTAACCATCTTTAATTTCAAGCAGGGACGGATCTACCTTATGAGGTTGGGGTACCACGGCACCCGCTCAATTCGCTAAAATTCTTACTATGTACATAATATCTCTGTGAAGAAACGTATATATAGAGAGAGTGGCACCCAGAAGTCACAAAGTTGAAGCATGTGTCATTGGTTTAGTCTTGTCTTTGAAGGCTTTCTTTGCCCTCGTGAATTCTAGTTCGATTCCCTATTGGAGCAGCTCCTTTGATTTTTTATTTTTCTACTTATTAAGATTTTCTTTATTTTCAGTTGAGCCCTAGGGCTTCACCTCTTTTCCTTCTTTTTCGGCTTTTTCCCTCATTTTCTTCCTTTTATTACTTGTTAAGTCTCTCTTCTTTATTTTTTAAACTTTAAGTCCTCATTTTGTTTCTATCATTATACCTTACTTTATGAACAATTATTTTCTATAGGTAATTTGAATTGATTTTAATTAGCATATAATTTTTTTTTTATTTTTAATGAAACGATATTAATTTATATATTGAAATATAATTTGAGCAATATCTTCTATTGGATTTTGAAAACAAATTAAATGGCTTGATTGATAGTCATTTTGAGTCGAATATCATAGGTTGAATGTTGAAAGTTTTTCTTTGAAAATAATTGTCATATAACTCAACAATTAAGATGGAAAAAAAATAAAGAACAATACAAATAAATTAATCTAGTCAAACAAAAAATATATAGTGTCGTTAAGCTACTCTTTAAGTAAATATTTATATTGGAGGCGCTCTTTCATGAAATATTAATTTTCTTTTGTATTTTTATTTAGAATGTGTTTAAATTAAGCGTTAAAAATTTGAACTAAAATCGAACTTATTTCCTTTGTGAATGAAAGGCCTATTCAAATTAACCAAAAACTAAGCGAACCGACCCATTATTCCTAATCTGTCTTTGTAGCTACTGACATGTATATTGTATGCATAACATGGTGGCACCCACAACCAGAGGCGGATGCAGGATTTCATGACTACGGGTGCCACTATTTTAATATAAAAAGACCACTAGTGAAGAAGATTGAATTAAGGTGTACATTCAGTCGATTCGATCCGTTTTGGATTACTTCGGTTCGATCCATTTTGAATTTATTCAATCCAATTTAAAATTTATTTTATGCATAAACGAATATGTGATACACCCCTTCCATCTACATGTAGCTGATTAATATTATATTATATCTTTGATGCATCACTATTAAAAAAAGTTATAATTAATAAAATAACATTATATGGATAAAAAGAAAATGATTAGATTACATCCATTCAAATAAAATACAAACATCTGAAGAGTCTCGATCCCAAGTATTGTGCATGGAATTTTAGCACTTCAACCATGGCACCTTCAGTCATTTTGTAACTTGGGGTGCCACTTGTTCCTTATGTAGGCCTTTTTGTGGAAAATATTAGTATGTATATAAAACTTTATCCTAGCGACTGGGTGGCGTGCCACCCCCAACTCAATACATAGATCCGCTCTACTCGCAACCTTTGAATTCTGGATCCGCCTCTAATTTAAAGGCATTAGATTATGTCACGTGTCCTCAAAACGCTAATAATTGCAATATTTAAAGCTCATGTCGTTTGCTGTATTTGACATATAAACATGTGTGTGTTAACTACGTATTTAAATAGTTCAAATCGATCGTAGTTTAAGTTTGTGGTTTCACTCAAAATGATCCATATTTATAAAACCCTATACAAACTAATATTTTGTGTATATAATATTTCTTGTTAATTTATTTGAATTTTATGTTTGTTAATTTTTAAATTAAAATAAAAGTGTAACACATTAAAATGCTGAGAAAATAGATAATTTAATTATTTACTATTCAATATTGTAGATGCTGTTTAGGAATATCGAAGACCAATTGTTATACTTACTGCTCACATTATTATATAATAAGGAACAATTCCAATGAAAAGATGATGTGCTTTTCCTCTATTTGTTGGTAGGGGAAAGCTTTTGTTTTAAGCTTCCCCTTTCTGACCAGAAGTGATGGGCTTCCTCTTCCATGCCATCGAATTACCGAAATTCCTGACTAGGACATTCTTGGTTAGCCTTTGGAGCCATCTCAAATACATGGTCATTCCTGCCCTCACTCGCCTGGGTCTCTACAAACCTCCTCCTGAAGACGACGACGCCGATTCCAATAGCTATAACCCCAACAGTTACATTCTCCTATTAGACGGCACTTGCCCTTCCCTCGTCACAGTTCCAATCGAGGTCGCCACCGCCGCCGTCAAGCTCAAAGTTCCCGTACTTCTCTACCGCGATTACCTCCTCCTCCGCCGCCGTGGAAACGAATTGGTGAAGGGATGCTCGATCTGCCTCGAATCCATGGAGCTGGAGGATGATGTCAGAGAGCTCATCACCTGCACCCATGTCTTCCACAGAGGATGTCTTGATACTTGGGTGAACGATGGACACGTCACCTGTCCCTTGTGCAGATCTATGTTGCTTCCCCCTAAGTTGACTTCTTTCCGATGTTGTCTAAATCCTGATTCTCCGCCGCCGCCGGCGGACTTGGCTGATCCCCCATTCATTTCTAGTTCTAGTTAGTTGACTCTTGTTTGTTCATTGGATTTTGTCTCACATGCATCTACGGCGGACGATGCTCGTCTGCTTGTGTTTCTACTCTACTTATATTCTTGGTTATATTATATACTCCTATATGAATTCGTAAAACTAGTTCCTGTTTCCTTCCCATTTCCTTTTCTTAAAAAAAGTAACTTGGTTATATATGTTAGATTATTAATTCACATCATAGCAGAGATTAAGCCATAGCCATAGCCAACGTTAATTGAGGACAATAAAACAATTTTAAAACTTATGAGTTTTGAGAAGAGTAATTTAAAAAGAATTTTAGACTCTATAGTGGTCACACTACACATATAGCCAAGGATAGAATGACCCATATAACAATTCATTCTCAATGGAGAACCCTACCAATGAATCATAGCAAGCATCACACCATTTCAAGGTATGAGTTCTATCTATGATCACATGTGATAGAATTTCCATCTAACATGTAATCAAGATGAATAGAACCACACCTCTTAGAAAAAAATATTCCTCCAAATGACATAATAACCGTATCACCTCAGGAGCCTCCAATTGACACTAAAATCATATCACCTCAGGAGATTTCCCCTGTGCCCTACCCGGGATAATCAAGGCAATAAGCATCAAAACTCAAAGATGCCATGAGTTTATGCAATATCCAATCGGAAATATAAAAAAAAATATCATGTTAGTCAATAAGCATAACAAATATAAATTAACACAAGCTTGCACAAAAATAGAATTTATTAAAAGTAATATCTTAGTCAGCAATTACAAAGTAACTCCCACTAACTAAAGCACATCAAAAGACTCTAAAATACCCATATTTTGACACTACAAGCCTAAGACCTTTAGTCAAAGGATCAGCCAACATAGATTTTGTATTAATATGCTCAATACATATATCACATTCTTTTACCATCTCTCTAACATTAAGAAACTTAAGGTTACATGATTAGAGCCTCTTGTTCTCTTGTTATTCTTAGAGAAAAACACAGTTGCACTGTTGTCACAGAAAATAGTCACCGGCTTAGATATAAAATCTACAATTTGTAATTTAGTAAGAAAATTCTTCATCCAGACAACATGTGAAGCAGTCTCAAAACAAGTAATAAACTCAGCTTCCATTGTGGATGTAGCAGTGATGCTTTATTCCTCACTTTCCCAAGAAATAACACCTCCAGCCAACATAAAATATACCCAGAAGTTGATTTCATAGTGTCTTGACTAACTGCAAAATCAGAATCTGAATATACTAGCAGGTCCAAATTATCAACTTATTTGTACACAAGCATGAAGTCATTGGTGCATTATAGATATCTCATTGCAGCCACCCAATGTGCCCACCCAGGATTAGAAGAAACTTTTCCCAATATATTAATAGCAAATGATATATCAGGCCTTGTACAGACCTGTATGTATATCAAACAGCCAACAACACTTGCATATGGCATATCTCTCATAGTTCTCTTTTCAACATCATTTTTTGGACATTGATCCTTGCTAAGTTTGTCTTCTTTTACCACATGTGCAACACCAGATTTGCAATCTTGCATATACAATATTTTAAGAACACTCTCACTATAGGCAGGTTGTGATAAACCTAGAAAACCACAAGACATATTCCTTTTAATTTCTATCCCAAGAACAAAAGAGGTTTCACCAAGATCTTTCATATAAAAAGACCTAGACAAAAATTATTTTGTCTCATTCATCAAGTCCAAATCATTTGTGGCAAGCAGAATGTCATCAACATAGAGAACCATAATAATAAAATTGCCATTAGCTATTTTGAGATAAACACATTTATCAAGCTTATTTTTCACAAATCCAAATTTTGTAATAATTTCATCGAATTTCAAGTACTACTGCCTGGAGGCTTGTTTAAGCCCATATATGGATTTGTTAAGCTTGCACACTAGATGTTCTTTACCAGCTTCTTTAAACCCTTCAAGTTGAACTATGTAAACTTCTTCAAATAGACTCCCATTTAGGAAAGCAATTTTAACATCCATCCGGTGCAACGCCAAATCAAAAATGAGCCACAAGAGCCATCACAACTCTAAATGCATCCTTAGATGAAACGGGAGAAAATATTTCTTTATAATCAATTCTCTCAGTCTGAGTGTAATCCTTAGCAACCATCCTTGCTTTATAACGGTTTATGTTTCCCTTGGAGTCTCTTTTGGTTTTAAACACTCATTTGTAACCAATAGGCTTAAAACCTACAGGCAATGCAACTAACTCCCACACTCTATTGTGTTCCATGGAGCGCATTTCATCTTTCATTGCCTCATGCCATTTATCAACAAATGGAGAGGAAATAGCTTGAGCATATGATAAAGGATCAGTCAACTCTCCAGTATCACGAAGATTTTCAGTCACATACACGATAAAATCACCAAAGATGGACGACCTTCCTTTTCTTTGTGACCTGTGAAATGGTTCATTGTGTACATTTTAATCAGGAACTATGGGATATGTGTCGTTGTTCCCTTGATCCCCTCCCCCATGAATAGGTTGGTTTACCACCTTTTCATGTACAATAGGTACAGGGATAATGACTTCCTTCTCTTTCAATACAATTTCCTTACCACATGAACAATCACAATCACAAACATCATGCTCAAGAAATTTGCATTAATAGACTCAACGATTCTAGTGTCACACCCAGGACAGAAAAACCTAAAACCTTTAGAGTGATCAGGATAGCCTATAGAGAAACAACTGGTAGTTTTAGGATCAGTGTTTTTTTCTGTGGGTGAATAAATAAGAACTTCAGCTGGACATCCCCAAATATGAAAATGATTCAAGCTATGTTTTCGGGGTGTCCATAGTTCAAAGGGAGTTTTCAAGACCGATTTTGTAGGAACTATATTTAGGATATAACTAGTTGTTTTTAAGGCTTCACCCCAAAGAGACTCAGGTAGGCTAGTCCTTGACATCATACTTCTCACCATTTTCATGAGAGTACGATTTCGTCTTTCAGCCACACCATTCTGCTCAGGAGTACCCGGCATGGTATATTGTGCTATTATCCCACATTCTAGCAAAAATAAAGCAAAAGGCCCCATACATTGACCAGACTCATCATATTTTTCATAGTACTCACCACCACGGTCAGACCTCACTATTTTAATAGACTTTCCAAGCTATTTTTCAACTTCAGTCTTGTAAATTTTAAACTTATCAAGTGTTTCAGATTTTTCTTTTAAAAGATATATATAACAGTATCTTGAAAAGTCATCAATAAAAATAATAAAATAATTATGATTGGTCAAAGTAGGTACATAAGGTCCACTAATATCAGTATGAATAATTTCTAAGAGTTCAGAGCTCTTAGTGGAACCCTTTCTCTTAACCTTAGTCATTTTACCCTAAACACAATCCACACAAATTTCAAAGTCTTTTGGATCAAGAACAGGTAAAATATTTTCTTTTACCAATCGTTCAATTATTTCTTTAGAAATATGACCAAGACGCCTATGCTATAACAGGTAAGATGCTTTACTCATAGCAGACCTTTTGTGGGCAATATTTTCAACATGCATTGCAGAAAAAAATTCATTTAGCACATTCAAGCGATATAGACCATCACTTAAAGAGGCATCAGCAACAACATGTGAATAATAGAAAATTTTAATAATACCATTATTTTATTAAAATGAATAACCATCTTTGTCTAAAAGTGAAATTGAAACTAATTTTCGTCTCATAGACAATACAAAAACTGTATTTTCTAAATGAATACTGGAATTATTTTTAAAAGGTAAAATAGATGCCCCTATGAACTCTACTTTTTCTTTGAGTCCATTGCCCACAACATTACTAGCTTCATCCTTTTTTGGCTTCCGTCTTCTTACTGGATCCTACAGGTCATTGGTTACATGAACAGTTGTACCACTATCCAACCACCAGGAATTTAAAGGAACATGAACAAGACTAGTTTCAAAGCAGACAAAAGCCAAAAGATTACCTGATTTCTTTTTCAGAGGACAACCAACTTCCTTATGACCTACTTGTTTGCAAACCAATCACTTGATTTCTTTCTTAATTACAGTTTGAGGACCAAGAGGATTATAAGACTGACCTTGGTTAACATCGGGCTTATTAGTATGACCACTACTACCATCTGGATGATGAGACTGGCCACATTTCTTTTTATAAAATTTGGGTCCATATTTTCTTTTATAAGAGAGATAATCAGTTGATCTAGACGAACTAACAAAGTTCACTATACCCTCAATTTTCTCTTTTTGGATCCTCCCTTCCTCTACCACACAAACAATAATAAGCTCATCAATACTCCACTTATCATTTTGTGCATTATATGTTGTCTTAAGCTGGTTAAAATGCTCAGGAAAGAACATTAGAGATTGGTGAACAAGAAAATCATCGGTAATGGTTACACTTAAATTATTCAGTTTGGTAGCAATGATAACCAATTTCATAATATGGTCACAGACACTACCTACAAGGTCATACTTTATGGTAGACAGGGAATCAATCAGGCTATCTATCTCAATTTTATCAGATTATAGGAATTTCTGTCCAATGGAACTCAAAAAATCTTTTGCATTTCCATTATCCTTAATTGCACCTTTTATGTGATCAGAAATGGATCTCTTTATGATCATAAGACTCAATTTATTAGCCTTCATCGATTTCTCATACTTAGCCTTTTCATCAGCAGTGCTAGTAGTTGTGGGTTCAGCAGGTTTTTGTTCAATCAATGCAAAGTCCATGTCCATAAGACCTAACACTATTTCAACATCATGTTTCCACTTCTTGTAGTTGCTACTACTGAGAGTTTCAATGGAATTCAACTGAGTAGTCATGTTGTTAACAGCTGTATAAGCAAAAAATACAAAAATTAGATAAAATTATGGGCAGAAATATATAAATCAAAAGAGTTAAAGACATCTATTACACCCTCCTTTGGGTGAAAGATGCAACTATCTCCCCTTTTAAAAATCAAGGAGTCTAAGGTATTCATT